CCAAACTGGTAATGAAGAAGTAAAACTGTCCCTATTTGCAGATGATATGATACTATACACAGAAGACCCAAAAGACTCCACCAGAAAACTACCAGAACTAATAGAAAGATTCAGCAGAATAGCATGATACAAGAAAAACATACAAAAATCAGTTGGATTCCTATATATCAATAAAGAGAATGATGAAATGGAAATAAGAAAAACAATACCATTTATAATGACCCCTAAAAAAGTAAAATACTTAGGAATAAATCTAACCAGGGATGTAAACAACCTATTCAAAGACAACTACAAAACACTACTGCAAGAAACCAAAAGAGATCTACATAGATGGAAAAACATACCATGCTCACGGATAGGTAGACTCAACATTTTGAAAATGACCATTCTACCCAAAGCAATTTACAAATAAGATACAATCCCAATCCAAATCCCAACAACATTCTTTAAAGAGATGGAAAAACTAATCATTAACTTTATATGGAAAGGGAAGAGGCCTCAGATAAATAAAGCACCTTTGAAGAAAAAGAATAAAGGAGGAGGACTCTCACTGCCTGACCTCAGAACCTACTATACAGCTACAGTAGTCAAAACAGCCTGGTACTGGTACAATGACAGACACATTGACCAATGGAATAGAACTGAGAACCCAGATGTAAATCCAGCCACCTGCAGTTGCCTGATCTTCAACAAGTGCCCAAAGTCCATCAAATGGGAAAAAGACAATCTTTTTCGCAAATGGTGCTGGCAAAACTGGATGTTCATCTGCGAGAAAATGAAACAGGACCCATACCTCACACCATACACAAAAACTAATTCAAAATGGATCAAAGGCCTAACTATGAAACCTAAAACTATAAAGATCATAGAAGAAAAAATAGGATCAACACTAGAGGCCCTAATACATGGCATTAACAGGATACAGACAATAACTAACAACACACAAACTCCAGAAGTTAAGCTAGACAACTGGGATCTTCTAAAAATTAAACACTTAGGCTCATCAAAAGACTTCACCGAATAGTTAAAAAAGAACCTACAGGCTGGGAAAAAAAAATTGGTTATGACAAATCCGACAAAGTTTTAATCTCTAAGATCTACAGGAAAGTCCAACACCTCTACAACAAAAAAACAAATAACCCAGTTTAAAAATGGGCTAAGGAACAGATACTTCCCGGAAGAGGACATTCAAGTGGCTAACAGACACATGAGGAAATGCTTGCAATCACTAGCCATTAGAGAAATGCAAATCAAAATCACAATGAGATGCCATCTCACCCCAGCATTACTGGCACAAATCAGAAAAACAGAAAATAACAATTGTTGGAGAGGCTGTGGGGAAACCAGAACTCATATGCACTGCTAGTGGGAATGCAAAATGATTCAACCATTTTGGAAAATGATATGGCACTTCCTTAGAAAGCTGGAAATAGTAATACCATATGATCCAGCAATTTTACTCCTAGGACTATATCCTAGAAAAATAAGAGCCATCACATGAATAGACATACGCACACCCATGTTCATTGCTGCATTGTTCACAATAGCAAAAAGATGGAAACAACCTAGATGCTCATCAACAGATGAATGGATAAATAAACTATGGTACATACACACAATGGAGTACTATGCAACAATAAAGAACAATGATGAATCTGTGAAGCATTTCACAACATGGATGAATGTAGAGGGCATTATGCTGAGTGAAATAAGTCAATCACAAAAGGACAAATATTGTATGAGACCATGAAAAGTTTTACACACAAAAAGAAACATCTTTGACATTTATGAGGGAGGGGAAGGGTGGGGATGGAAAAACACTAAATAGATAATAGATAAGTAGTAACTTTGGTGAAGGCTAAGACAGTTCACAATACTGGGGAAGCCAGCACAACTTGGCCAAGGCAATGTCATAGAAGCTCCATAGACACATCCAAACTCCCTGAGGGACAGAATTACTGGGCTGAGGGCTATGGGGACCATGGTCTCGGGGAACATCTAGCTCAATTGGCAT